CATGAAATTAGGGCTGCAGACGAATTGGAGCGGCTCAAGTCAAATTCGAGTCGAGCTCAAAATATTAAATTCATTAGCTCGCGAGTCGACTCGCGAGCTCGAGTATATATATATAATAATTTTTATTTTTTATTTTAAGTATATATATTTTTTATTTTTTTATTTTAATAGTAAAATTACATATACATTCTTAATATTTTATTATTTATTAAGAAAAAAATATTATTTTACTTATTTTTTTTAAATTTTTTTTTTTTTTGAGCTCGAGCTTTAAATTACGGGTTCGTCGAGCTCGAGTTCGAGTTCTAATTTAATAAAATTTAATTGAGACTAGGCTCGATTAGTTCAAAACTCCACTCGAGTCTAGTTCGTAGTCCTACGTGAATTAGCTGCTAAAAGGTGAAAAAAATAAAAAAGTTGGAACCTAGCGGCTAGCAGTGGAAAACTAGTGAGAGTAGACCATGATTTTGTCCGCTTCAAGCGCCGGAAGATTCAGTCGGCTCTGAAACAACCATACCAATTCTCCTCACTCTCTTTGAGCCTTCTCTGCCTGCCGTCACAGCATGCAATTTTAATGAAAACCAACCCACCATTTGAATGAAATGAAACACTAGGAGAGCCACCCAGAAAAAAGGAAAAAAAACCCGAAGAAAATTAATACTAGGATTTTAGGAGGAGCAACAAATACAAAAGAGAAAACAATCATCAAGAAGAAGAAGATGGAGGAGCCCAAAAGCACCTTTCCCAAGCAACGAAGGAACAAGACTGTGATCAGCAGAATAGGCAAAGCCGGGGGTGGTGGAGGGATTGGAGTTGGAATTATTTTCTTGGGCGGAGCAGTAGCCAGTGCTGCTGCAGCTTTCCTCATCAGGAGGCGGCTCCAAAAGTCCACCAGTAATATCAAGAATTGCAGCCGTGATCCGTCAACTCCATCCGCTGAGATTCCTTACAAATTGCTGGAGGACAAAAACACAAATCAAGCCAAGGGCCTAAAGTTCATTGCTCCCGATTCAGATTCTCCTGCATGTACGGATACGCATCAAAACTTGAGGTTTGCAATTGCCGAAAGATCCTTTCTACTCGATAATCTCTCCCTTCCTCAGTCTGATTCCATTATTTGTGCTGATTTTTTCCGCTTGTTTATTTGCCTTTTTTAGTAACGGAACAGCAAAGACTGGAATACATGAGAACGATAACACCGATACCTCAGATCAAAGCTTCATCCAGGTAATTAGTACTGTGTCTTGAGTTGTTCTTCAATTGTAGAGACAAAACACGTGAAACCTGCACTTGGACGAAGGGGAAATGAAAAATCGAAAGCACTGTCATAACACAAAGTGACCCTGATGCATAAGACTAGAAGATTTCTGACGCTAGATTAATCTAATACAGGATCAAAAGTACCAGATTGAAGCTGATGATGGAAAAGGGGATCCCGTAGCTGATTCTGAACAACTTGTACATTCAAATTCTCCCGGCGGACTGGTAAGCAGCTTGCAGTTCGACGCATCTCCCCTCAAGGAGGAAGAATCTCCATTGCCACTAGTTGGAAATCAAGCGCTGCATCAGCCGAAGCAAGTTGCTGACCGCTTTTCTGGGGAAGAAATTGAGATAATTCGAGAAGATGATCCGGTTGACGCAGCTCTTGTTGATCAAGGCACAGAAAAAGAAAAACAAAAACTGGAGAACGGTAATGGAGAGGAGATGGAAATTAATTGCTGCTCGGATAAGGATATGGGAGAATTGAATAGTCAAGACGCAGCAGAAACAACTAAGATAGAGCAGAGGACAGGTACATTATTGCAATCCGGTGAAGAACAAGAGAATCCATTTCATTGTGATCAAGAAAGTGAGAGCAGCGGCAACCCACTCCCGACCAAAGATCAAAGACCGGAGAGCGAAGAATGTTGTCTGGCCTTTGAAACTGTGGAAGTGATCGAAAAGGTTGAAGCGGCTATTGTGGGGCAGGGCAAAGGTGACACCATGACCCAGATGACTCTAGTTCATGGTTCACCGTGCACTGAAAATTTGGGAGTGAATGGTAGAAATGAAAAACTTGAGGTAAGTCATGGAGATCAGGGCAAAGGCAATGCTCAAATTCTGATGTTGGCAGAAGAAGAAAACAAATGCGATCATCATGATAGCTTACTGAACATTGGAGCCAATGAAGAAACCGAAGGGAATGATACTCTTGAGGCCATTGATTTAGACGAGCACAGAGGTACAGTGGCTTCGATGTCCGAAAAAGGCCAAAGGAAATGCCTTGTTGGCTCGCCTACCACTGAATCTGCTGAAGTAAAGGAGAAAGATGAAATGATGGAGGAAGCTGAAGCCAGAGACACTGAGATTATCAGCTGCGAAGAAAGTCAAGCAAATGGTGAGTCAGCTCAATTCCCACATAATATTGCTTCAGCTAGCAACCAACAAAAGCTACATACTGAAAAACCAGGATTTTTTTCAAATGTTGATCACGAAGATAACTCTGTCTTCGATGAGCTAACATCTGAGGATGAAACATGTGAGGATTTCAGCCGTCTGCTGAAGCCTGAGATTGGAAGTGATGATGGCTTTACAGAACTTCAGCCGTCTGCTGAAGCCGCTGAAGCAAGGAAGGAGAATATTGTAAATGAACCAGCTTCAGACGACAGGGTTATAGAGAGTGAGAACTCACCAATGCAGTTAGTTGAAATACAGAAAAATCTCAATGGTGACAATGAAAAACAACTGGAGGAAGTTGAGGGTCGATCCCAGGTGAATTATGCAGTCAATGTCACTATAGAAGAGCATAATCAAACGAGGCCAGAGGAAGATAGCCTTCATGATGAAGGAGATGATGATGCAGATGAGGCAAATATGACTGACAAAGTGGAAGATAGTTCGGAAGGAACAGGAGACTCCTCCGTCGAATCCAATGCTGAGCCAATTTGGCCCATGGACTCGTTGGAGGAAGTATGTGCGGAGGTGAAAGAACTGAAAATCAATGGAAAGAAAGAAGAACAGGACATGGAGGAAAATCAAAATGTAAGAACACAACAAGTACCTACGTGCCCTCAGAACATTGACAATGATGGCATCATTGACAAGAGCATCCGAAATGGGAATGATTGTAAAAGCAACTCAAAACTGAATTTTCTTGAGAGGGTTATGCTGGAGCTTGCGGAGCAGACTCATCAACCAACAACATACTCACAGAAATTGAGAATTCTTATACCAACTATCCTGGCGCTCTCATGGTCACTCTGTTTCTGGCAATTAGGCCCGCCCTTCTTGAAGATTTCTCTCATAGTCGTCCTGATTAAGATCCTTTCCAAGATTCAGGGATTTTGAAGCAGTTGTCATTCACATTCAGTTGAAATATTATGTATGCAGAATGTGTAGTGGGGGTGCTCACTATAATAAGAGACAAAAACTAGTTAATCGTCAAAAAACCTTTTATCAGTGAAACTTATTTTCGAGCATTTGATTACTTTACCAACGCTTCATTGCTTCACATCAATTGTGAGTTGCAGAAAAGATGGTACTAGTACTGATATAAAACGTTGATTAAGGTAGTCCTCCTTTACAATGAAAGAGGGCAGTAACGCTGGAATTATCGAAGAAATCCACTTATTTCAGAGCAAAAAAGGAAAAAAAATTGAAAGTCTCGAATTTATGTGACATCAAAGCGATCGTGTTAATACTCGAATCAGTCATTAAGATTGAGACCCAAGATTCAGAAGTTTTGAATCAAATTCCTCCTCCTCCAACCTCGCTTCTTATATTTACTTCTCTTCTATTGAAAATAGAAAAGACAAAAAAAAAAAAAAGGGTGATTGTCACAGCCAAATTGAATGAATTCGTCCAACGGTAGTACCCGGACCACATGTTTCCTTTTGAGCCTTGAAGACCACTCAAATAACCTATTTCATTCGAATAGATGCCAGATTTAAGGGAGCACGTGATCTCTTTCCAATCGTACGATTTTTAATTTCCCAGTTCTAGCAAGATCAGTGAAGAGAGACTAGACTTCCGGCGTCATAGACGCCGTTCTAAACTTGCGGATGTTGTGTCCACCCCATTTTTTTTTTTTAATTTCCCAACAGTAGTACCCACGCCACAATTTTCTTCTCATCAGTTTCTTTGTTTTGGGCACTATAATTCCTTTACTTTTCCTGGCTTAGACAAGAGCAACACGATGCCATGTCGTCAACTGATCTGTCATTCATTGAAAATAATCACAAACTGGTGAACTACAGTCAACCTTGAAATATATAGATAGCCCAGCTGGAAATCTGTTCAAATCATTGAATATGATTCTACAATCATACTTACAAAAGTTTCAACACACAAACCATAAACTGCTAGAAAAACAGCTCTACACTCGTTGCCACCTGTGATAGTCAATTTAGAGTAAACCACGACCCCAATTTCCTTTCCCGGAAACTCTCAGCATGTTTAATTCTATATGTTCCATGTAAATTTTTGCTGCCTACCCTAATTATCCAAGAAACCCATAATCGAGTTATGAGCCATATATTTACTACAATGAGATAGTGACAACATTAGTATTTAACAAAAAAAAAAAAAAAAAATTCTGAATCGTGTGTTTCAAAAACTTCAGAAGACAGTGGCACTTGGACAGCCTGAATCTCAGTTTCTCATGCATTGGCAAGGTTGTCACAAAGGGGCGGGATCCATACGCAATGAATGGTGTCACCCTTTCGTCTTTCCTACAGCTATTTTGTTATTTATACTACAGCCTTTACAAGTATAACCTCACTACGTACTCCCCTCTCTCTATATACAATCCCCCGACTCCAAAAACCACCTCAGTTTGGGAGCTCGTCCCTTTTCGAAGTATAAAATGAAAGCAATTTTGAGAGAGGCAAGTTACATTGCTGAAGAGAGAGAGAGAGAGAGAGAGAGAGAGAGAGAGAGAGAGCCTTCTTGATTCCTGGATACAAAATTTTCTGAAGCATCAATAGGTGGTTGACCAACTCTAATCACGAATCACTAGCATTCTAGAAGTTCTTGGGTCTGCAATGGGCTAAGCCAGCTGCAGCCTGTCGACCATCCCAAAACACCGAGGATAAGTTCCACCCTTGAGCAGCCACTGACCTGCGGAGAATTTGAATAAAAGTGCATCTAGCTTAACAGAGATCAGAGCTGGTTAATCATCTGGGATACTTCTTAGAATGAGTCAGATATATAACAAAAGGGCAGAGGACAATGCCCCATAAAATTGTAAGAGAAGAGCTGGACTCTTCTACAATGCATGAATTGCAGCTCAAGAACTCAACCATATACAAAAGAAGGTGGTAGCAGGTCACTTCCAATGAGAGATGAATCTAGTAAAGGTGTACAGGTTTGAGTTATTTCTAACATTCTAACAAGAATCAGGCATCAAAATGTATTATCAAAAATAAATTTACAAGGACGTCTTTTCCCACAAATGTACAGCCTTAGATTCCCAAACACTTTTGGCATTAAAGATATTGTCAAAAATAAATTTCCAAGTAATTTTCAAACATACAGCCTAAAAGATACCAACACTCAAAAAATTTGCAGCATATCAACATTGTTATAATCTAGAATCAAGAGGATGGGGAGATTGCACAAGTACAAAAGCAAATAGATAGAGAAAACACTATAGACTAGTTACAAGCGAAGAAAAATATATACCTCCCACAAAGTTCCCGGAGAGATCTCCTCAGAAGATTCAGAACACATGGATGAAGAACAATACAACTTCCACTTACAGCAATGAAGATGAGGTTGACTTAACTGTAACAACTTTTGCACAAGTGCAATGGGTGAAGTTTTATCAATATACCAACCTCCAGAATCCACGGCATCACATCCCTGGTGCAAGTAAAAGATCCAGACACCATGAGAAGTAATTCAACATGAATACTTGTTTCAAAAGAAAAATAAAATAGTGTGCATATGAAGGTTCTGTAGCATTTCAAACTGTATCTGCACATAAGTTGCTAGGTTTTGCAGATTATGTAGCTTATGTAGACTTGTAACTTAGTTTCCCAAGTACCTCATTCCCCCTTGAATCACACATTCTTGTTGTTTTGTAAACTAAGATAGTAAAGCAAAAGGACATCCCATAGACAGTAAAATAACATGTAAGCTTTAATATTACCTGCTATCTACTTCACCTATTAATAATATCCCCAAAGAAAAAAAAGAGTATAACATAATATCCCATTACAGTCGAATCAAATGTATACAGGTATTCTCAGTTTGTTGACCAGCCAAAACCAACGGAATGCGTATGACAAGTTTTGCCATCAAAAGTACTTGGACTTCCGAAGAAATTCTCCTAATGCTACAGAACTCTAAGCAACACCAAAACAATCATGTCATGATAGAAACTTGCCATACTTCACCCAGAAGAACTTTCGACCAAATCGTAGAGAGAACAATAGCTGATTCCAAGAAAATCCAATAAATTGGTTAGAGTGCAGCTAGGAAGAAAAAGTACACGAAAAGTTATTTAGCTCCGGAACAAAAAGTGCCAAAATTCGACAATCCAATAGAACTTACACATCTTAAGTCAATAGTGATCCAGCTCCAAAGCAACAAAAACCAGAATTGGATAATACTTCTAATAAAACTTACACATGTGAAGCGATATCTTCTCCTATATGGAGTGGACAGCTGAAGAGGAGAAGGATGCGCGGTACTGGCAAGGAAACCAGTCAATGCTCTGGGAGCCTTCCACGCACACGACAGCACACTGCACTCATATCTTCCACTCACATCGCTGCCTTTCCACAACTTACAAACGTTCACACATTCTACCGGAACTGCATGGGCTAAACAACAATCAATCAGGTCGTATCAAGGGGATGGGATGGGAGGGAATAGCATATTACCCTTAAATAAATAAATTACTACTACGAAATAAAAACCAATGCTAAAGAAACAAGGCAGGCAGGAAGGCGGGGAGACAGACCTGACATACAGGATGCGGAAGCCATATCTATTTGGAAGCATCGGTGTGGAAACACAGCAAGGCACGCACAGAACGGTGCTCAAAACATTCAAACAACCACAATCCAATTCTCATTGACCTCCAATTAACTATAAGGTTAGGAATGGAAAGAAAGCAGAGTATGATTAGTTGAATTTAGCTAATAGCAGTAGTAAGTAGCAGCAGGGCAGGGAATCAAAAAGATTCGCATTCCCTTTTTCCTTCACTAGTAGTATTTCTTTTCTGAAATGATGGTGTCCAGGTCAGACAAATATCTATGGAGGCTGGTTTTGCGAATTGCAGAATTGCGGAATTGAATTGAACGAAGCTGGGGTGAGGTGCGAGTGAGGAGATAATCTAGAGAGAGAAAGGGGATAAACAGATTATTCAGCCGAGTCCACACAAAACCCGTTTGCTATAGATATTTTTCCTTCTTTTGCCTAGTTGCCCCCTAACACGATACCTGCGTAATTCAGGTGCATTTTTGCCAATTAATTTTGTATAATATTTTCATTACTAAAGCAAATTGTTGTATTTTAACCTATCCTTCCATCAAATATGACAGTTTTCCTAGTTACAGTGCTTAGTAGAGAGTTAGAGGCAATCATTCTGTCATGATTGTTTAGATTAGTTATGATTAAAAATAATTACATATAGTTATTTTAGCAATTTGTGTTTAGATGGTAAAGTAATAAGTGATTTTAACGAGAGTAAATTGAAAGTACTGAAAGTATATAAAGTGGCAAAAAATGTTTATCCCAATCCGCTGTTTCTCCTTTTATATATAGTATAGACATCTTTGCAATATAGTCTACGTAAAGCTGAAAACGAGTTGATTTTTTATTTGATCGAATTAAGTTTCCACTCAATTTTGTTAAATTCAAACTCGAATTTGAACTTGATGAATTTTCAATATAAAACTTGAATTCAAATTTAATTTCATTTTTGAATCTAGTCGAGCTCGAACTTGATCCAACTCGAATTTTTAAAAATAAAAAAGTAATTTTTATTTTTAAAAATGAATAAAATATTCAAATTTTTTTGGTAAAAAAGAAAAATATTGAGGGATATATAAACACATATGCATTCACATACACATGCGTACGTACATCTAACCAAGCCGACTCATGAATTAACACATTGAGCTTCTCTATGTTGGGCTCAAGTTCGATAACTTAACTTGGTCGACTCGAACATGAAATTAACCGAAATCGAGTTGAGTTTTGACTAACTCACAAGTGGCTTAGTTCTTTTGCAGTCCTAGTTTTAGGAAAAAAAATATTTGTGTCTTTAGCTTTGGATAGATAAATTTATTTTCTTTGGTGTCTATTTATCTCTTAAGTCAATGTGAGAAATTTCAAATTGAACTTTATTATTTTTGTTTAGAAACATTTTTGAGCGTATGAAATTATTTATACATTATAAAAATCAACACATGAGACCCATCTTGTAGTTATCAATAATAATCACTTGATATCAATATTTTTGTGGATTTTTTTAATGGTGTTCAATAGGCATGCATTAGTATATCTAAATGACACTTAATCTACTATATGAATTCATACACTAACAATTATTACCCAATTTTATGTTTTATATTTTTTCTGATTAACATTATTTTTTCAAAATGCAAACACTTGAAATCTATCTTAACGAGTGCGTGAACACTCGTTGGACAGACCATTCTTTTACTAAAAAAATGACAAATTAAGATTCTTTGTTGCCAATTAATCATGCTTCAATATTTTATACAGTTCTCCAACTACCATAATATACACAATTCTAGATATTTTTAAATTTCTCAAGTTTTCCATACCTTTCAATATGCTTACACAATTGCATTATTTTGTCTTTAAATTCACTAGGAAAAGTAAATAACTTTACTAACTTTTATTTATATTCTTTTAGCTTGTGTAACATATGCCCAATGAGCAATCTTTAATGTATTTTAATCATACTCAATATACCATGTGAATACACACACTAACAAATTATTATCTGTCATTGTATTTATACACTTTCCTTAATCAAGTTTTACCATTTAAAAATTTAACGCCTGAATTACATCTTAGAAAGTGTCCAATAAACGCTTATTAGACAGACTCTTAATTTTTTGAAAAAATATACTTAATTTGGAAAGTGTTGAATTGCAGAGGTTCAATAATTGTTATTATATCTATTCATATGATAAACTAAGTATAATTTAAATGTAATAATAAGTGTTTAAAATACATATATACATATGTGTGTCTATGTGAATGGTTAATTTATTCTTTTAATAAGAACGGACAAATTGTAAGATTGTGTAAATAAAATATATTACTATACAAATAAGGTTGTAATATGTTGATACTACATATAATAATAAGTGTCATCACCCAGGTCCAAAAGTTAGTCCAAGCAACTTTTGAGCGAAATTCATAGGCCAAAAATAGTTAACCAAAGTTGCTAAATAGCCCAAGGATTTAAACTTATAAACCATTACTCTCTTTTGATTCTTTCTATTGTGGGATTAGAATTGGGATATCACATTCACCTCTACTAAAAGGATTTTGCATCATCACATAACTTGTCACAATCCAAATTGTCTATTTGATTGTATTTAGACTTTGGAGGTAGACCCCATATATAGCACACAATTCCTCACACTTCCTTATATACTCAGAATCATAATCATAACACACATGTTCGGATTTGTGAAGTGGCCCCTTTGCATAGTCGCAACCATAATAGGACTCTGGAGATGACCTTTGTACTAGTGTACAATTTATTGTACTTCCTTATATGGTCAAAACCATAACTATAATACGCATATTTGGACTCTGAAAATGGCCTTTGTAAGTTTGATCATGTTAGGATTCTAGAGATAGCTCTCGTACACGGGATGCAGCTCCTTGTAAGTTAGGAGCATAATAGCCTTGCACTTTCTTCACAATTAGAACCATAACATCCTTGCACTTCTTGCACAGTCAAAACCATAACATCTTTGCACATTCTTACAAAGACAGAACCATAACAAGATTCTAGAGGTGGCTCCCATGCATGATGTGTAATTCATTGCACTCTTTTTCATATTCAAAACCATAACACACTGCTCAAAGCGTCAGGTCCTTGTATAGTTAGAACCATAAACACTTAATCATGTTTGAAATTTAGAGATGGCCCCTGCGCTTCTTCTGCACTTCCTTGCATAGTTAGAACCATAACAAAATTCTGGAGGTGAGTCTTGTACGTGGCAAGCAATTCATTACACTTTTTTTGCGTAGTCAAAATCATAACACACTACCCTAGGCCTCAATTCCTTCCTTGCATTTTCTTATATAGTTAGAACCATAACATTCTTGCACTTTCTTGCGTAATCAAAATCATAATAGGATTATGGAGGTAACCCTTGAAAATGGCACACAGTGTATTGTACTTTCTTGTATACTCAGAGTCATAACACATTGGCCCAAGCGTTTGATTGTTGTGTAGTCAAAACTATAACATATTCGATCATACTTGTGTAATCAAAACCAAAATAGGATTTTAGAGGTAGGCCCCATACGTGCCACGTAGTTTATTGCACTTTTTTTGCGTAGTCAAAACTGTAACAAATTGATTCGGCATCAGTTTCTTATGTAGTCAGAAGTATAACATACTTCATTGCACTTTCTTGTATAGTCAGAATCATGACACACTACACCAAGAGGGTATAGGGGAAGTGGTAAGGAAGGCATGGGGGGAGAGGCAACAGGGATCCAGGCTATACAAAGTACAGTGTAAAATTAGGCAAGTTAGAATGAATTTGTTGAAATGAAGTAGAGGATGTGCAGGAAACTCACAAAAACAGATTGAAATGTTGAAAAAAGAGATAAAGGAGACAAAGGAAAAGGTTGATAGAGGCTCTCGGGCACATTTGATAAATATGAAGAAAAAGTTGGCTGAGGCTTACAAGAGATAAGAAGTTTTCTGGAGTCAAAAGGCCAGGGTGCAGTGGTTTAATGAGGGAGATAAAAACACTGGCTATTTCCACGCTATGGTGGCTGGTAGGAGAAAAAAGAAATAGGATTAGTGTGTTGTAGAAGAGGAGTGGGGAATGGTGTGAGGGAGAGGAGGAGACTTGCAATGAAATCTTAGACTGTTTTTCACAAATTTTCTCTTCAGATAAGCCTGGGGATTTTGCAGGAATCTTGCAAGGAATCCCACAGTGGGGCAAACACTTGCAGTGTCTCCACGGCAATACTGGACTGCACAAAATTGATGATATAATGCATAATTAGGCAATTCAAAAATGAAAAGTTGCATGCATCAAGAAATAACAATAGGAATGAACGGATAAATATAATACTATATCAGCACCACCTGCTTATGTGGAGGCATATGCGAAAGAGTACGCATATTGTGTAACCTGTCTGCTAATTTGACTATAATAACTCGAACCTGCAAGGTAGTGATTTTAAATGTCAGGGTCTGCTAAACCATATAAAATATCTAAATTAAGTATGAATAGACGTAATTAAGCAGTACCTCCTCAGTCATGGCCAGGAACATCTGTCTAAGATCATCCGCTTTGACATCTTGTACAGAATTATCTTCATCCTTATACTTGAGCTTTCCAAGTTTGGACACCTAAAGCACCAAATACAATAAAAAACTTGCATATCCAAAAACAGATCCCACCTTATCATCAGCAAGAGAAAGAGAGAGAGAGAGATGAGAACCTTAGTCTCCCCTTCTACAATATGGCGAACAGTAGCACCAAACTCCTCCTCTAGTCTTTCAAAAGTAACAACATTCGTATCTTCGACGGTGTCATGTAATAAACCAGCAGCAATTGACTCCCAGTCCAATTCCTAAAATGCAGTAGACATGAATGAAGTTGATTACATGTAGAATAAGAAGATTCCAGATTAAGTGCCATACTTCTTCAAAATGAATTTACATTAGCTTTTTGGAATTTTGCAACTCTCACCAGTTCTCCTAGAATTTGTGCAACCGCAACTGGGTGAATTATAAATGGCTCCCCACTGCGCCTTCTTTGACCATCATGTGCCTCAAAAGCCAGCTGCAAGAGATCGTTTTGATATATTTTGGAAGAAAACAAAGGCAAAAGTGGTGGTACTATACATAGGTCTAAATAGCCTCATTTCTTGACCCAAGTAAATGCTACTCACTATATCTAACTCCATCAATGGCATGAGGTGAGTCAAATTGTAGGGAAGGAGAAGGGAAGAGAATGCGAGAAGACTCGAAAAACAAAGTAACTAAGAGCCCAAGATAAGACACGTACGAAGTGTTCAGGAAGTGTACACTTTTAATAAGATAGGACAACTTACATCCAGAGCTCTACGGACCAGTTCAAGTTCTCTCTGAGAAAGATATGAGATAGTAGGCTTAAGTTCCTGACAGAAAAAGTACAAATGGAATTAGTGTATCTCAACATTATGAGACTATAAAAAGTAAAAGCAAATGTCTATCATCTGGGATACTTCTTAGAATGAGTCAGATATATAACAAAAGGGCAGAGGACAATGCCCCATAAAATTGTAAGAGAAGAGCTGGACTCTTCTACAATGCATGAATTGCAGCTCAAGAACTCAACCATATACAAAAGAAGGTGGTAGCAGGTCACTTCCAATTAGAGATGAATCTAGTAAAGGTGTACAGGTTTGAGTTATTTCTAACATTCTAACAAGAATCAGGCATCAAAATGTATTATCAAAAATAAATTTACAAGGACGTCTTTTCCCACAAATGTACAGCCTTAGATTCCCAAACACTTTTGGCATTAAAGATATTGTCAAAAATAAATTTCCAAGTAATTTTCAAACATACAGCCTAAAAGATACCAACACTCAAAAAATTTGCAGCATATCAACATTGTTATAATCTAGAATCAAGAGGATGGGGAGATTGCACAAGTACAAAAGCAAATAGATAGAGAAAACACTATAGACTAGTTACAAGCGAAGAAAAATATATACCTCCCACAAAGTTCCCGGAGAGATCTCCTCAGAAGATTCAGAACACATGGATGAAGAACAATACAACTTCCACTTACAGCAATGAAGATGAGGTTGACTTAACTGTAACAACTTTTGCACAAGTGCAATGGGTGAAGTTTTATCAATATACCAACCTCCAGAATCCACGGCATCACATCCCTGGTGCAAGTAAAAGATCCAGACACCATGAGAAGTAATTCAACATGAATACTTGTTTCAAAAGAAAAATAAAATAGTGTGCATATGAAGGTTCTGTAGCATTTCAAACTGTATCTGCACATAAGTTGCTAGGTTTTGCAGCTTATGTAGCTTATGTAGACTTGTAACTTGGTTTCCCAAGTACCTCATTCCCCCTTGAATCACACATTCTTGTTGTTTTGTAAACTAAGATAGTAAAGCAAAAGGACATCCCATAGACAGTAAAATAACATGTAAGCTTTAATATTACCTGCTATCTACTTCACCTATTAATAATATCCCCAAAGAAAAAAAAGAGTATAACATAATATCCCATTACAGTCGAATCAAATGTATACAGGTATTCTCAGTTTGTTGACCAGCCAAAACCAACGGAATGCGTATGACAAGTTTTGCCATCAAAAGTACTTGGACTTCCGAAGAAATTCTCCTAATGCTACAGAACTCTAAGCAACACCAAAACAATCATGTCATGATAGAAACTTGCCATACTTCACCCAGAAGAACTTTCGACCAAATCGTAGAGAGAACAATAGCTGATTCCAAGAAAATCCAATAAATTGGTTAGAGTGCAGCTAGGAAGAAAAAGTACACGAAAAGTTATTTAGCTCCGGAACAAAAAGTGCCAAAATTCGACAATCCAATAGAACTTACACATCTTAAGTCAATAGTGATCCAGCTCCAAAGCAACAAAAACCAGAATTGGATAATACTTCTAATAAAACTTACACATGTGAAGCGATATCTTCTCCTATATGGAGTGGACAGCTGAAGAGGAGAAGGATGCGCGGTACTGGCAAGGAAACCAGTCAATGCTCTGGGAGCCTTCCACGCACACGACAGCACACTGCACTCATATCTTCCACTCACATCGCTGCCTTTCCACAACTTACAAACGTTCACACATTCTACCGGAACTGCATGGGCTAAACAACAATCAATCAGGTCGTATCAAGGGGATGGGATGGGAGGGAATAGCATATTACCCTTAAATAAATAAATTACTACTACGAAATAAAAACCAATGCTAAAGAAACAAGGCAGGCAGGAAGGCGGGGAGACAGACCTGACATACAGGATGCGGAAGCCATATCTATTTGGAAGCATCGGTGTGGAAACACAGCAAGGCACGCACAGAACGGTGCTCAAAACATTCAAACAACCACAATCCAATTCTCATTGACCTCCAATTAACTATAAGGTTAGGAATGGAAAGAAAGCAGAGTATGATTAGTTGAATTTAGCTAATAGCAGTAGTAAGTAGCAGCAGGGCAGGGAATCAAAAAGATTCGCATTCCCTTTTTCCTTCACTAGTAGTATTTCTTTTCTGAAATGATGGTGTCCAGGTCAGACAAATATCTATGGAGGCTGGTTTTGCGAATTGCAGAATTGCGGAATTGAATTGAACGAAGCTGGGGTGAGGTGCGAGTGAGGAGATAATCTAGAGAGAGAAAGGGGATAAACAGATTATTCAGCCGAGTCCACACAAAACCCGTTTGCTATAGATATTTTTCCTTCTTTTGCCTAGTTGCCCCCTAACACGATACCTGCGTAATTCAGGTGCATTTTTGCCAATTAATTTTGTATAATATTTTCATTACTAAAGCAAATTGTTGTATTTTAACCTATCCTTCCATCAAATATGACAGTTTTCCTAGTTACAGTGCTTAGTAGAGAGTTAGAGGCAATCATTCTGTCATGATTGTTTAGATTAGTTATGATTAAAAATAATTACATATAGTTATTTTAGCAATTTGTGTTTAGATGGTAAAGTAATAAGTGATTTTAACGAGAGTAAATTGAAAGTACTGAAAGTATATAAAGTGGCAAAAAATGTTTATCCCAATCCGCTGTTTCTCCTTTTATATATAGTATAGACATCTTTGCAATATAGTCTACGTAAAGCTGAAAACGAGTTGATTTTTTATTTGATCGAATTAAGTTTCCACTCAATTTTGTTAAATTCAAACTCGAATTTGAACTTGATGAATTTTCAATATAAAACTTGAATTCAAATTTAATTTCATTTTTGAATCTAGTCGAGCTCGAACTTGATCCAACTCGAATTTTTAAAAATAAAAAAGTAATTTTTATTTTTAAAAATGAATAAAATATTCAAATTTTTTTGGTAAAAAAGAAAAATATTGAGGGATATATAAACACATATGCATTCACATACACATGCGTACGTACATCTAACCAAGCCGACTCATGAATTAACACATTGAGCTTCTCTATGTTGGGCTCAAGTTCGATAACTTAACTTGGTCGACTCGAACATGAAATTAACCGAAATCGAGTTGAGTTTTGACTAACTCACAAGTGGCTTAGTTCTTTTGCAGTCCTAGTTTTAGGAAAAAAAATATTTGTGTCTTTAGCTTTGGATAGATAAATTTATTTTCTTTGGTGTCTATTTATCTCTTAAGTCAATGTGAGAAATTTCAAATTGAACTTTATTATTTTTGTTTAGAAACATTTTTGAGCGTATGAAATTATTTATACATTATAAAAATCAACACATGAGACCCATCTTGTAGTTATCAATAATAATCACTTGATATCAATATTTTTGTGGATTTTTTTAATGGTGTTCAATAGGCATGCATTAGTATATCTAAATGACACTTAATCTACTATATGAATTCATACACTAACAATTATTACCCAATTTTATGTTTTATATTTTTTCTGATTAACATTATTTTTTCAAAATGCAAACACTTGAAATCTATCTTAACGAGTGCGTGAACACTCGTTGGACAGACCATTCTTTTACTAAAAAAATGACAAATTAAGATTCTTTGTTGCCAATTAATCATGCTTCAATATTTTATACAGTTCTCCAACTACCATAATATACACAATTCTAGATATTTTTAAATTTCTCAAGTTTTCCATACCTTTCAATATGCTTACACAATTGCATTATTTTGTCTTTAAATTCACTAGGAAAAGTAAATAACTTTACTAACTTTTATTTATATTCTTTTAGCTTGTGTAACATATGCCCAATGAGCAATCTTTAATGTATTTTAATCATACTCAATATACCATGTGAATACACACACTAACAAATTATTATCTGTCATTGTATTTATACACTTTCCTTAATCAAGTTTTACCATTTAAAAATTTAACGCCTGAATTACATCTTAGAAAGTGTCCAATAAACGCTTATTAGACAGACTCTTAATTTTTTGAAAAAATATACTTAATTTGGAAAGTGTTGAATTGCAGAGGTTCAATAATTGTTATTATATCTATTCATATGATAAACTAAGTATAATTTAAATGTAATAATAAGTGTTTAAAATACATATATACATATGTGTGTCTATGTGAATGGTTAATTTATTCTTTTAATAAGAACGGACAAATTGTAAGATTGTGTAAATAAAATATATTACTATACAAATAAGGTTGTAATATGTTGATACTACATATAATAATAAGTGTCATCACCCAGGTCCAAAAGTTAGTCCAAGCAACTTTTGAGCGAAATTCATAGGCCAAAAATAGTTAACCAAAGTTGCTAAATAGCCCAAGGATTTAAACTTATAAACCATTACTCTCTTTTGATTCTTTCTATTGTGGGATTAGAATTGGGATATCACATTCACCTCTACTAAAAGGATTTTGCATCATCACATAACTTGTCACAATCCAAATTGTCTATTTGATTGTATTTAGACTTTGGAGGTAGACCCCATATATAGCACACAATTCCTCACACTTCCTTATATACTCAGAATCATAATCATAACACACATGTTCGGATTTGTGAAGTGGCCCCTTTGCATAGTCGCAACCATAATAGGACTCTGGAGATGACCTTTGTACTAGTGTACAATTTATTGTACTTCCTTATATGGTCAAAACCATAACTATAATACGCATATTTGGACTCTGAAAATGGCCTTTGTAAGTTTGATCATGTTAGGATTCTAGAGATAGCTCTCGTACACGGGATGCAGCTCCTTGTAAGTTAGGAGCATAATAGCCTTGCACTTTCTTCACAATTAGAACCATAACATCCTTGCACTTCTTGCACAGTCAAAACCATAACATCTTTGCACATTCTTACAAAGACAGAACCATAACAAGATTCTAGAGGTGGCTCCCATGCATGATGTGTAATTCATTGCACTCTTTTTCATATTCAAAACCATAACACACTGCTCAAAGCGTCAGGTCCTTGTATAGTTAGAACCATAAACACTTAATCATGTTTGAAATTTAGAGATGGCCCCTGCGCTTCTTCTGCACTTCCTTGCATAGTTAGAACCATAACAAAATTCTGGAGGTGAGTCTTGTACGTGGCAAGCAATTCATTACACTTTTTTTGCGTAGTCAAAATCATAACACACTACCCTAGGCCTCAATTCCTTCCTTGCATTTTCTTATATAGTTAGAACCATAACATTCTTGCACTTTCTTGCGTAATCAAAATCATAATAGGATTATGGAGGTAACCCTTGAAAATGGCACACAGTGTATTGTACTTTCTTGTATACTCAGAGTCATAACACATTGGCCCAAGCGTTTGATTGTTGTGTAGTCAAAACTATAACATATTCGATCATACTTGTGTAATCAAAACCAAAATAGGATTTTAGAGGTAGGCCCCATACGTGCCACGTAGTTTATTGCACTTTTTTTGCGTAGTCAAAACTGTAACAAATTGATTCGGCATCAGTTTCTTATGTAGTCAGAAGTATAACATACTTCATTGCACTTTCTTGTATAGTCAGAATCATGACACACTACACCAAGAGGGTATAGGGGAAGTGGTAAGGAAGGCATGGGGGGAGAGGCAACAGGGATCCAGGCTATACAAAGTACAGTGTAAAATTAGGCAAGTTAGAATGAATTTGTTGAAATGAAGTAGAGGATGTGCAGGAAACTCACAAAAACAGATTGAAATGTTGAAAAAAGAGATAAAGGAGACAAAGGAAAAGGTTGATAGAGGCTCTCGGGCACATTTGATAAATATGAAGAAAAAGTTGGCTGAGGCTTACAAGAGATAAGAAGTTTTCTGGAGTCAAAAGGCCAGGGTGCAGTGGTTTAATGAGGGAGATAAAAACACTGGCTATTTCCACGCTATGGTGGCTGGTAGGAGAAAAAAGAAATAGGATTAGTGTGTTGTAGAAGAGGAGTGGGGAATGGTGTGAGGGAGAGGAGGAGACTTGCAATGAAATCTTAGACTGTTTTTCACAAATTTTCTCTTCAGATAAGCCTGGGGATTTTGCAGGAATCTTGCAAGGAATCCCACAGACTGTCACTGCTGCTATGAATAGGAAACTAATCAGGCCAGTCACTGATCAGGAAATAAGTCGAGCTGTTTTCTCAATGTATCCAAACAAGTCTCCAGGTTCAGATGGTATGTCTCTTGCATTTTTTCAAAAATTTTGGCATATTATTAAATCTAATGTTATCCAGGCTGTGCATAGCTTTTTCCATTCTGGTTATTTGCTTAAGTCTATCAATGAAAATTTGATTAGCTTGATTCCTAAAACTGAAGTCCCTTGTAGCATGACTGATTTCAGACCAATTAGTTTATGTAACGTGCTTTACAAAATAATTTCCAAAGTTCTTACCAATAAATTCAAAACTGTCCTTAGTAGCTGTATCAGTGAGTCTCAGTTTGCTTTTGTCCTGGGTAGACAGATCTTAGATAACGTCTTTGTAGCTCATGAATGTGTTCACTTCCTAAAAAATAAAAGGACTGGGAAAGAGGGATACATGACTCTCAAACTAGATATGTCCAAGGCGTATGACAGGGTTGAGTGAAAATTTCTGGCCAAGGTGATGTTTAGGATGGGGTTCTGTCCTAGGTGGATCAACTGGATCATGAACTGTGTGACTAGTGTTACCTATGCAGTGAATTTTAATGGTGAGAAGACATGTTTCATTAGACCTTCTAGAGGTCTGAGGCAAGGGGATCATTTATCCCCCTATTTGTTCTTGATATGTGCTGAAGGGTTTACCTCTTTATTAAAGCAAGCTAACGATCAAGGGAGGTTATCAGGTTTGCAGATTGCAATAGGTGCCCCCAGGCTGTTTCACTTGTTTTTTGCAGACGATTCCTTGATTTTCTGTAAGGCTAATGGGGAGGAAGCTGGTCAGCTGAGGGCAATCCTAGAGGCATATGAACGAGCTTCTGGTCAGAAGATTAATATAGAGAAATCCTCAATATTTTTTAGTAGGAATGTAAAGGAGGTACACAAAAGAGGAGTGTTGGCTGAGCTACAGGGAATGAGGCAAGTGTCGCAGAGCAAATATTTGGGCTTGCCGTTGGTTATTGGGAGGTCTAAAAGGCAGGTGTTTGAATTTATACGTCAAAAAACAACTGCAAGGCTTACGGGATGGAAAGAGAAGCTTTTGAGTCAAGCTGGGAAAGAGGTATTGCTGAAATCAGTTGTAATGGCTCTACATACCTTGTGTAGGGATATATGCTCTAAGATGGCTAGGTTTTGGTGGGGTCAGAAGGAAGATGAACAAAGGATTCAC